ACAACACTTGTCAGACTTACTGGTCTACAGTTTCCCGGTTCTGATCGATCACCTTTTTAAATAGAGTGGTTATATTTGCTATTGTCCATGATCGAGGGACAATTCCTTGTTGAAGAGAGGTATGGAAAATAATTTTCAACGGATTACATATTGAATTAGCTAATTATTTTAGCAATCTAGGATGTACCATATCGGGACCCTGAGATTTACTTGGATTTGACTTTAATAGTTCCTTTCTTACACGTTCTTCTGTTATATCACTAGCTTGAAATTCCACATTAAGACGCCTTGGTTATAGGATAGGTGCGTCTCCGATAGGTTCTGCTGTAAAAACGCTACTGTAAAGTTCTGCCTGGACCTACCTTATCCTGATATGTAACTGCGGTTATGAGTTTAGAGTTTTCCGTTTTAGAAATTAGATCAGCAATACTTATTTTCACATATTTCCAAAATACTTTAGGGTTTTGTTTAGTATCATTGGAAATGTCTTTCTCCGTGGTTTGCCTTGATTTCCTCCACATGCTTTTCACATGGTTGCGACATTTAGTATACTTTCTGTACTTTTCTTCAACTCTGGTTCCATGTATCTTTGCCAAAATCTGTGTTTTTGCTTGATCTTATCCACAATAGTTATTTTCAAGGGGAATACACGTATTTGCCTTGCCATGTTTCGATATTGGAACGTGTTTGGTTATACACAAGCGGATAACATTTCAAGGAATTGATCAGTAGGTTAAAAACGTACTAAACAGTCACTAATTATAGTGACGTCAAAGTATTCTATGAATAACCCACATGGGCACCCGGTGTTTATTTCGTTAGTAAGAACATCCGTCGATATTCTTCTCTTGGTACAACCATAAATGAATTTAATTCATCCCTGAATTTTCAATGAAGGAATAAAATGGTGATTTGGTGATACGTTGAGGGTACTGTCACCCTATAGTAAATGGGAAATATATAACAAATCTTTTTGTCAATTAATCAAAATCTGATTTTCAATTAATCAAAATCGGTTACTAGAATTTATAGCTTTCTAAATATCCTAAAGTTTGTGTCTTCAGGCAGATTCCCCATACCACAAAAAGTAACCCTATGTTAATACGTGCAACAATATCATTGAGTAAGCATTTCCAGAGGGTAATTCGCAAGTAATTGCAAATTGGAGACTTTCTGCAAAAAAGAAAATGTATTTTTATTAATGATTTGGAGGCATATTCAGTATGTTACAGACTTTTTTTTTTTTTTTTTTTTTTTTTTTTTTTTTTTTTTTTTTTTTTTTTTTTTTTTTTTTTTTTTTTTTTTTTTTTTTTTTTTTTTTTTTTTTTTTTTTTTTTTTTTTTTTTTTTTTTTTTTTTTTTTTTTTTTTTTTTTTTTTTTTTTTTTTTTTTTTTTTTTTTTTTTTTTTTTTTTTTTTTTTTTTTTTTTTTTTTTTTTTTTTTTTTTTTTTTTTTTTTTTTTTTTTTTTTTTTTTTTTTTTTTTTTTTTTTTTTTTTTTTTTAATTTGGTGAATTCACCAGTGTACCTACGCGCCTGATCAATAGATGTTTTTTCGTGATAAGGGGAGTAACTCTTAAATAGTATTAACCATGTTTGATACTCTATATCGGACTCAAATATTATAAAAATATATATTTAACAATGGTTCATTTGACATCACTACCTGCTATTGATAATAAATCTATTATGGTAAACAAAATATTGCTAACCCAAATATGAGAGCAAGGAATTTCTTAAAACTATCGACAAGTGGTGCTAATGCTACATTTCTTTCTGGAAATTTTCCACTGTAATTTGATATAACACATTAAAAAAAAAAAGGATATTTCGATTATCAAGTTCCGAGTGCCACGGGATTCTCCTGAAGTTACCTTAGACCAATTTTCGCTTTTCAATGACGCTGTTTGTTCCATATCTGATATGAAACAGAGGTCCAATTTATATTATTTTTCACTTGTTCTATATATCAGCATCTTACTTAAAGCTTAGTCCCTCCGTCAGCTCAGTAAAAATTGATCAACCTATGAGAAACCGATAAACGTGAGAACAAGAGTCACGTGATGGTAGTGAGGTGATTTATTTTCGTGATGTTGCTCACATATTTTGCTTTATGGTGTTTATCGGTGTCATGCCTGGCGTTTTCCTTGACGAATTTAATGCATTGACTGTTATACGTTGCTTTAAAGACAAAACATTTGAATTTTTAGTCGATATTCAAACGTTGACGGCTGTTGAATCAGATATCCGTTATTCATCAGTGGCCAAAATGTCAAAAATAACTCGTTGGAATAAAATACTAAATTTACACCTTTATCATGAATCATTTTCAGAACATAGAGCATTTGATACGTCCGTACCAACTTGCTACTATTAAAAATTATGATACAATGGTAATTTTAGTGCGTCATAAAGTAAAAATTTAGCGTTGTGTAAGGTGCAAGATCAAGATACATGTATACACATTTTTGGGATCTTTTTTAATTGCTGTTAAATCGGTCGTTTTAAAAAAACGGCCTCAAAAAATACAAATAATAGGTAAGTAGATTTTTGACACATATCACATACGAATAAAACACAGCCTTAATGTACAATTAGTTATGAATTAATTATTCCCTTGAGCGTATCTAAGAATGCAAAAATGTGCGGCTGAAATATTGAATGCGCAACCAGACATGCACACAATAAGGCAAACAGCATCATAAGATTGAATTATTGGTAATTATATCGGTTCCCGCTATGCCTCGGTAACATAATGATGGATGAATAAAATAAATAAATAAATTATTCAACATTTGATAGAGCGCCCTATCTAGCTAACATAAGCCACTCTAAAGCGCTTAACAGTACATAGATATACAATTTTATACAGTCAATACAATTAGCATATAAATTAATCAATATAATATTGAGGAATTCGCAGGAGCTGCCTTATCAGGCGCTAACTACTAGTCCTATGCCACCTGGCTAATATCTCCCTATGTGTGTATGCCTGTGTGTGAATGGTGAAAATTAGGTGAAGACTTCTTTTACCTATTAAGGAAAAATAGTTCCACAATTACATTATTTTTTTAATTTGTTTTCAATGTATATTTACTACGATTTCAGTTTATTTTGAGTTTTCGTTGCCTAAATGCGAAATTACACTATACATGTCATGAATCTCATAAATGTAGTAAAACAATTCGAGAGGTAGGGTAGGAGTCGAGGTTGACTTGCCCCCTACCCATTCCCCAACAATTATTTTTGCCAGAGGCCGATGTATTAAATATGCCTCTATTTCTGCATACTACGTCACCGGTTGCAAAAATATATCTATTTTTAGTATGAGTGGAAAACCAGGTTTATCGTACTTCCGAGCTACTAGTTGTTTGGAGGCCTGATAGGTAAGTACTGGAAACATATCTGTCTCTTAGTTTTGCAAAGTACAAGTATTTGTTTATGTTGTTAAGACTTTCGGTCTCAATGGTTCATACTATAACAGTATTTTCTGTCTTTCAACACAGGAGTCTGAGTTTAATAAATAACTATAGCAACCTATATATAAAAGATAGAAAGTCTGAGCCAGACAGTCTCATAAAGACTTTAATCCTCGCTGTTATAGTATAAGGGATATTTGTTTACATATACAGATCGTTAAAGTTATATTGATTAAACGTCAGAATCCTGTGCTTTCAAAAAGCAGACCGGTACGTTAATCCGGACCTATCTAATTAAATATGCAGATAATTGATATTTGACATATCAAGCCTAGGTGTATCAGTACACTTAAAATGAGCAATATATCAGAAATAAACCAAGGGATTTGAATCGACTATAAATCCTTGGGACCCTCCAGGTGTGATATGGTTACTTATTCTGTGTTGTCAGTTTACCAGAGACATATAAAGCCATGTAGTATATATATATACGTCTCTGGTTTTACGTAATTACGCAGTACAACATAAGTGAGAGGTTCACCTTAAAATAAGGTCAACACCTGGCAAAAATGCACCCTCCCCCCCGCTCCCCCCCGCTCCCCCAACAATGACGATATTTATACTAGCAATTTTAACAAGTATTGATTTAAACACTTAAAACGCCTATCTTACAATCTACACTTAGGTTAGGTAAAAAATACCAACTCTAACAAAATCTCAGGTCCCCGTGTGGCCGATCAGCTACGCGTACACAACTCGCGTTCGGCCGACACGCATCTAGCTGTGTCACACTTGTACAATTTAAAAGTAGGTTATTCGGACTACAGGAACTCAATTCAAGTACAATGCTATTTTTAATGTTGAATAATGTATTGTCAAGAACAATCCTTGTCCTTAGTCCTGACGTTAGTTTCAGAATTAGGTCACATTATAATTATGCATGATGTCACACAGACTTAGAAAGCTAATCTAATTCAGTGAATCAATTTCGTCATGCCTTTATAATTATATTATGTATAGTTGTACATATAAATAGTGCATTATATCAGGGTCACTAATATAACCAGACTGCTCCTTTCAAACAAGGCCATTAGAAAAATATAAAATAGTTATTTCAGAAATATATAATCACTTAACTTCTTTGAATTTGATTGAAGGTACAATATAGAAGAGAGTTAAAAAGGAGAAAAAAAAGTTAATATATCAGGACTTTTTGCAAAAATCTTGACCAAATTAGACATTTCAGGTACAATCTACTTGGTCACATATTTATAATTGTATAAAATACATAATTTTACTTCCTTGATTAGACTTGAAAAAAAGTCAACAGAAAGTGAAAGAATGCTTTTAAAAGTTGAAAAACTAAATTTTCATCGAGACACACACCCCCCAGCACAAGTCTGCCAAAAGCATTCACTGAGAAAAATAATTTGTATACAGAGCTTTACAGAGGTGGAACCCCTTCAACCCTATTATGCATATCAACAACATTCCATCTTCAATTCTGTGTCACACTCAATAATAGCATAAACAGGAAGTGTATTGAGTTACCAGAGCGAAGGCCATTTTCATGTATATTGTCTAGAATCAAATATATATGTAAAAAGTATATTTATAACTTATATAGTCACCTGTCAGATCATGTTGAAAATTTTCAGTTTATATTACGCAGTATTTTAAATGTAAAGTACAGGTGTACAATGTATGAGCTCTGATAACAGGTGTACCAATGTATAAGCTCTGATAACAGGTGTACAATGTATAAGCTCTGATAACAGGTAAGATATTTTGTGTGATTGTACAATATAAATTGTTATAGTCAGTACTAATTATGCTATAATTTGTGAACCGCTTAGGACCTAAGTTGTGATAAAGCTGTATATAAGAACCTAAAATTGTTATTAGGATTATTATTACTTATTGACAACGAAGCCAGTCTTTTTTCACACTTGACTTAACCTAGACTTGGCTTTACTGATGTTCAGTAATATCCATTATGAATTTATGACCCAACAGACATTTTTTTTGATCAGATATATGTTGGGGAGGAAAGAAATTCAATTCCTGAATAAATAAGCAAGAAAATATCTTATCATTTTGTTTTCAGTTATTTCTGGTTGTATGTTTTCAGGATTATGAATACAAAAGTTCACTTTGAGCCACAGGAGCAGGGCCAACTTCCTGTGGCTATGGATGCGGCCAGTTATCCTACCGGAATACAAGAGGTGGGCGACCTTGTTGACCATAGCGGTCTTTATACTGGCCCTGAGGACTTCGGACAAGCTGCCCGACCCCAAGACTTAGGACAAGCTAACATGATGGAGGAGGCTGAACATCTTTTTGAAGACTTTGGAGAACTGAATCGAAAGTTTATTGCTCTGAGGAAATATAAGGAAGGTATATTTACTTGATCTTCTTGCCCCATTATAGTCATGTTCTATTCATGTGACACAAATAAAACTAGGAGTAGTGAGTGTGCCATTTCCTTCTCCTAATGCTACTAGACCTCCAATCAATTGTACCCTTCGCTGATATGCATGCAGGCAGCTAGAACTTTGATTTTCATCATTTTAGGGCTGGAATGTTATTTCAGAAAAAATGGTGCTAATTTTTGTTTCTGTGACAAGGTCAAGGCCACTGTTACTGAAAAAAGTAGTTACTTGTTTGGGTCCAAACTTTTTCTAGGAATGGTTGTATGATCCTCGGACTTGGTATGTGGGTTAACCTAGTATACAGACGTACCTATGTACAATACGTGAGGTCAGATAAATGTTTGTAATGTATTAGTCCACATGGCAAAGTGTGTTTGTTGGTTCGTCTTACATGTAAATAGAACAACTCAGGATTTTCATTTTGTTTGTAATTGCTACAAACTTGCTGTCATATTCAGGTTCAGTAAACAATAAACATGTACAAGTTACAGTAAGTGTAATAACATAACTGTTTATTATCATTTATCCTACTTACTAAATCAACTACTTCAATGAGTTATCATTAGGTTTGATACATTATTTCTGTTTCCAAACTAATTTTCAAAACTCATAGCTTACCATCGGTTTACACCAACAGGACTGTGATTTCTGTTTGCATTATACAAGTTTCGAACAGCTGGTAACTTTCAAAGTGACTCAATCTCCTTCTGTCAAAGTACCTAGGTCACAACCTGTCACACAGAGTCGGTCACTACCAATAACACTTTATCTGTCACAGTTTGGTCAGATAGAGAAGTGGATAGTGCACCATTGTTTATCCTACCTGAACATTTGGTACTCTATGTCGTGGAAAAGTCTTAAAACAGTGTGACAAGTGGTAACTGATTCTATGTGACAGGTCGTGACTGATTCTGTGTGACAGGTGGTGACTGATTTTGTTGTAACAGATGGTGGGTGATTCTGTGTAACAGGTGATAACTAATTCTGTGTGACAGGTGATAACTGATTCTGTGTAACGGGTGATAACTAATTCTGTGTGACAGGTGATAACTGATTCTGTGTTACAGATGATAACTGATTCTGCGTGACAGGCGTTGACTGATTCTGTGTTACAGGTGATAACTAATTCTGTGTGACAGATGGTGACTGATTCTATGTTACAGGTGATAACTGATTCTATGTGACAGATGGTGACTGATTCTGTGTTACAGGTGATAACTGATTCTATGTGACAGGTAATAACTGATTCTGTGTAACGCGTGATAACTAATTCTGTGTGACAGGTGATAACTGATTCTGTGTTACAGATGGTGACTGATTCTGTGTTACAGATGGTGACTAATTCTGTGTAACGGATGATAACTGATTCTGTGTGACAGGCATTGACTGATTCTATGTAACAGGTGGTGACTGATTCTGTGTAACAGGTGATAACTGATTCTGTGTTACAGATGGTGACTGATTCGGTGTTACAGATGGTGACTGATTCTGGGTGACAGGTGATAACTGATTCTGTGTGACAGATGATAACTGATTCTGTGTTACAGGTGATAACTGATTCTGTGTGACAGGTGGTGACTGATTATGTTGTGACAGATGGTGGGTGATTCTGTGTAACGGATGATAACTGATTCTGCGTGACAGGCGTTGACTGATTCTATGTGACAGGTGGTGACTGATTCTGTGTAACAGGTGATAACTGATTCTGTGTTACAGATGGTGACTGATTCTGTGTTACAGGGGATAACTGATTCTGTGTTACAGGTGATAACTGATTCTGTGTTACAGGTGGTGACTGATTCTTTGTAACAGGTGATAACTGATTCTGTGTTACAGATGGTGACTGATTCTGTGTTACAGGGGATAACTGATTCTGTGTTACAGGTGATAACTGATTCTGTGTTACAGGTGATAAATGATTCTGTGTTACAGGTGATAACTGATTCTGTGTTACAGATGGTGAATGATTCTGTGTTACAGGTGATAACTGATTCTGTGTGACAGGTGATAACTGATTCTGTGTGACAGGTGATAACTGATTCTGTGTGACAGGTGAAAACTGATTCTGTGTGACAGGTGGTGAGTGATTCTGTGTTACAGGTGATAACTGATTCTGTGTGACAGGTGATAACTGATTCTGTGTGACAGGTGTTGACTGATTCTGTGTTACTACAGGTGTTGGCTGATTCTGTGTTACAGGTGATAACTGATTCTGTGTGACAGATGGTGGGTGATTCTGTGTAATGGGTGATAACTGATTCTGTGTGACAGGCGTTGACTGATTCTATGTGACAGGTGGTGACTTATTCTGTGTAACAGGTGATAACTGATTCTGTGTTACAGATGGTGACTGATTCTGTGTTACAGGTGATAACTGATTCTGTGTTACAGGTGATAAATGATTCTGTGTTACAGGTGATAACTGATTCTGTGTGACAGATGGTGAATGATTCTGTGTTACAGATGATAACTGATTCTGTGTGACAGATGGTGGGTGATTCTGTGTAATGGGTGATAACTGATTCTGTGTGACAGATTGTGGGTGATTCTGTGTGACAGGTGGTGACTGATTCTGTGTGACAGGTGATAACTGATTCTGTGTTACAGGTGATAAATGATTCTGTGTTACAGGTGATAACTGATTCTGTGTGACAGATTGTGGGTGATTCTGTGTGACAGGTGGTGACTGATTCTGTGTTACTACAGGTGGTGGCTGATTCTGTGTTACTACAGGTGTTGACTGATTCTGTGTTACATTTGGTCACGAATTATGTGTGATAGGGGGTGACTGATGCTGTGTGACAGATGTTGACTGGTTCTGTGTGACAGGTGTTGACTGATTCTGTGTGACAGGGGTTGACTGATTCTGTGTGACAGGTGTTGACTGATTCTGTGTGACAGATGGTGGGTGATTCTGTGTAACAGGTGATAACTGATTCTGTGTGACAGGTGATAACTGATTCTGTGTGACAGATGGTGAATGATTCTGTGTTACAGGTGATAACTGATTCTGTGTGACAGATTGTGGGTGATTCTATGTAATGGGTGATAACTGATTCTGTGTGACAGATTGTGGGTGATTCTGTGTAACGGGTGATAACTGATTCTATGTGACAGGTGGTGACTGATTCTGTGTAACAGGGGTAACTGATTCTGTGTGACAGGCGTTGACTGATTCTATGTGACAGGTGGTGACTGATTCTGTGTTACAGGTGATAACTGATTCTGTGTGACAGATGATGACTGATTCTGTGTTTCAGGTGATAACTGATTCTGTGTTACAGGTGATAACTGATTCTGTGTGACAGATGAAGACTGATTCTGTGTGACAGATGGTGGCTGATTCTGTGTGACAGGTTGTGTCTGGTTCTGTGTTCCAGGGGATAACTGATTCTGTGTTACAGGTGATAACTGATTCTGTGTGACAGATGAAGACTGATTCTGTGTGACAGATGGTGGCTGATTCTGTGTGACAGGTTGTGTCTGGTTCTGTGTTACAGGTGATAACTGATTCTGTGTTACAGGTGATAACTGATTCTGTGTTACAGGTAGTGACTCATACTGTGTGACAGGTGCTAACTGATTCTATGTGACAGGTGATAACTGATTCTGTGTACAGATGGTTACTGGTTCTGTGTGGCAGATGGTGGGTGATTCTGTGTGACAGGTGGTAACTGATTATTTGTGACAGGTGTTGACTGATTCTATGTGACAGGTGATTACTGATACTGTGGTATAGGTGTTGACTAATTCTGTGTGACAGGTGTTGACTGATATTGTGTTACAGTTGGTGACTGATTCTGTGTGGCAGATGGTGGGTGATTCTATGTGACAGGTGATAACTAATTCTGTGTGACAGGTGATAACTAATTCTGTGTGACAGGTGATAACTGATGCTGTGTGACAGATGGTGACTGATCTGATTCTGTGTACAGATGGTTACTGGTTCTTGTGACAGATGGTGACTGATTCTGCGTAACAGTTGGTGACTGATTCTGTGTGGCAGATGGTGGGTGATTGTGTGTGACAGGTGATAACTGATTCAGGTGGTAACTGATTATTTGTGACAGGTGTTGACTGATTCTGTGTAACAGGGGATAAATGATTCTGTGTTACAGGTAGTGACTCATACCGTGTGACAGGTGCTAACTTATTCTATGTGACAGGTGATAACTAATTCTGTGTGACAGATGGTGGGTGATTCTGTGTGACAGGTTATAACTGATTATTTGTGACAGATGTTGACTGATTCTGTGTGACAGGTGGTGACTGATGACAGGTGATTACTGATACTGTGGTATAGGTGTTGACTAATTCTGTGTGAAAGGTGTTGACTGATATTGTGTTACAGTTTGTGACTGATTCTGTGTGGCAGATGGTGGGTGATTCTATGTGACAGGTGATAACCAGGTAGTGACTCATACCGTGTGACAGGTGCTAACTGATTCTATGTGACTGGTGATAACTGATTCTGTGTACAGATGGTTACTGGTTCTGTGTGGCAGATGGTGGGTGATTCTGTGTGACAGGCGATAACTGATTCTGTGTACAGATGGATACTGGTTCTGTGTGGCAGATGGTGGGTGATTCTGTGTGACAGGGGGTAACTGATTATTTGTGACAGGTGTTGACTGATTCTGTGTTACAGGTGATACAGGTAGTGACTCATACTGTGTGACAGGTTGTGACAGGTGATAACTAATTCTGTGTGACAGATGGTGACTGATCTGATTCTGTGTACAGATGGTTACTGGTTCTTGTGACAGATGGTGACTGATTCTGCGTAACAGTTGGTGACTGATTCTGTGTGGCAGATTGTGGGTGATTCTGTGGTACAGGTGGTAACTGATTATTTGTGACAGGTGTTGCCTTATTCTATGTGACAGGTGATTACTGATACTGTGGTATAGGTGTTGACTAATTCTGTGTGAAAGGTGTTGACTGATATTGTGTTACAGTTTGTGA